TTTTAATGTTTGCCCTTTCACGAACTTTGCTCCTCTAAAAATGACATACAGATAGATGTCGTTGAAAGAAAAGAGTTAGGAAATCTCAACTTCTTTTTTTTTTTAAGATGTGCTGATTCAGACTTGCCAAGTCAGCCCAGGTCCCTGACCCTGCACTCTGCTGGCCCTGAAAGAGCCCTGCCCCCCCACCCCCACCCCCGTCCCTTGTTTGTAAAACCAGGGGTGGCCCCTGCACTTGGTCCTGCCTCCACCAGCATTGTTTCCAGAGGAGAGCGAGCACTCTGCAAATTCTATTTGTGATCTGAGTGATGCCTGAGGGATTGTTTCCGTCCCACATAGTTCCTCTCCACATCTGGCAGATGCTTCAGTTCCGTCAGATCATCGCACGGGTTGCTTCCACAGCCGGGAGCTGTCGGCATCTTAAAGAGGGCTCTGTCCTCACCCCTGCCTGTGGCTCAGACAGGATAGCAATCCCACAGGAGAACGCTCTCGCCGTCCTTATTCGGACTCCACGTTCCCAAACGTAAAACGAGCCCTAGACCTCGGGAGCAGCTTGCACGGGGAATGAAGCCACGGTGCCCAGGGGAAGGGGCAGCCTTCGCCCCGTGTCCTGCCTGCGCGCCTGAGTGCTGTATTCTGACCTCCTGCATCAGGAGACAGCGCTGCTCAGGGTTGGGGGCGACGGAAGGAGGGGAGTCCTGAATCATGGAAACACTGACCTTGGGTTTTTGTTTTTCTAAGTCTCTGTGCCAAGGAGCTGGTCTACTGGTGGTTTGAGATAGTAACTCTGTTTATAAATGTCTCCTGCCTCTCCCATTGAAGCCTGCCATCTTTTTGGCCCTTTGGGGCATCTGGGTGGGGGTGGTGGCAGTGCGGTTGGAGAGTGTGAAATGTAAAGGCGTTGAGAAGGAGGGGAATCATTATTGCGCTTTGACCCACAGGTGACTGCCCATTTCACAGAGGACTTCTCGCTGAACTCCGCCATTTCCCAGCTGATGGGCCTCAGCAGTGCGCTCTTGGTGAGTGGCCTGTCTGGCCTCCCGGGCTGGCAGCAGAGCGGGGAGGCCGGCTTCTAGCCGGCTGGGGAGGTGGTCACTGGAGACAGGCAGGCCGGCGCAGACAACAGCACCGCCTCCTCTGTGTGGTGGTGCCTCTTAAAGAGGCATTTTCTCTACAGCAGGAGCCTGGTTCGGTTACCGGCATGTTTGTAAAGACTGTCTGGTCTTTAAGATGAGGACAGAGGCCCAGGGCAGCTTAGCAGGACCATGGGGCAGTGCAGGCTCCAGGGCCTGAGTCTCGGCTCCCGCTTCCTGGGCTCCTCAGGGCTTCTAATGAAGCCCCCCCTCAGAGGGGAGTCGGGGGAACCCGGTGAGCTAGCATCAGCCTGAGGGCCTGGCAAACAGGAACATGTTCAATATGGTGGCGGCTAAAACCGT